ACGGTGGTCAGTACACAGGAGCGGAACTCCCTGGTAGCTACGGTGGACACAGATAAACCCACCACACTGCAAGCCGCTATGAAATCCCCATACTCACGCGAATGGCAAGCCGCTATGGAAGAAGAACTTGCCCTCTCACGCAAAGAACGGAACTTGGGAATCGTCTGATCAGAAAAACACTGGACACACAGTAGATTCCAAATGGGTCTTTAAAGTAAAGCGCAATCCTGACAATTCTATCAAGCAGTTCAAGGCACGTTAGTAGCCAGAGGATTTACGCAAAGAGAGGGAAATAGATTACCACCAAACGTTTGCGCCCGTCGTGAAGTTTAATACGTTGCGGATGTTGTTAGCCATCGCAGCGTCACACGACTTGGAGATCCATCAGATGGATGTAAAGGCCGCATTCCTGAATGGGAACCTTGACACCGTAAAATACCTTCGCCTACCAGACGGGACAACAGTGAAACTCAAACGTTCCCTATACGGGCTGAAACAGTCACCTCAGTTATGGAATAAGGTGTTGGACGCTTACCTCCGAGAAAAAGGCTTCAAACGTTTCCAAACCAGACTATGCTCTTTACATAAAGCGCATTGGCCGAGGTTTTATCATCATTGCCGTCTACGTTGATGATCTGACAATTCTTTCAACGAGCAAAGGGGAAATCTACTTTTCCGAAACAACTGTGTCGAGAATCATGTATGATTCTTTGTTGGCCAGCCATATCTGCTTCGGTTCGATACGTTTCTTGGGAAATTTGTGCTTTTCGACGAATGTCTTGTCAAGGAATAACCCAGTAGCGCCGCTATCAAAAAGAACACGAGTAAACTTGTTTCCGATGCGACAATGAGAGACCCTGAGTCCAGCAGACAGTGGTTCGAAGGCAGGTTTATTGGTAGGGATCGTATGTGGTAGGCCGAGCAGAGCTAACGAGGGGCTCTATCAGACCTTGGAAAAAACTCGAGCTTGATTTTTAGTAGTATCGTAGTATCGCTGAGTTGACGGCGTCATCAAGAATTTCCGTAATGCATGAACCCAGCATCAACCTGATTGGCTGAACCTTGTTGTTGATTAGGTTGCAACTGGGGCTGCGGAGTTTGAGCGCCACAACCGCAACTGTCGAAGACCCACCGCGTTCGCTTCTTGGGTTTGCGAGCCTTGCTGGTCAATTTTCGGGATTTGACCAGCATTCAACCTCTCCAATGTCCCATTTTGTTACAAAGGGGACAGGGAGTCGTTGGACGTTGACGAGGACCGTTGAGTAGCTTGCCAGTGTCCACGTCCGGCGAAAGGGCTGTTGAACGTTGGTAGGGAACTTGACCTGTAGTGATACGACTCACTCCAGGGGGATAGTATGACGTACCAAGGGCATTTGAGCCCAAAGGTCATATCATCTAAGTCTTGCTCAAATTCCGTAATTCGAGGATTGGTGTAAGGGGCGTATCGTCCACCACGACCACCGCCACGACTACCTCGACCGCAACTGGCTCCACGGCCGTCACGAGAACTTGTTGCCAAGGACATCGGACGAGGTGTATTGGCTTGGTAGCCGTCAGTGAACCCATGAGCCACATGAGCACGACGCGCTGCAGTGATAGCTTGATCGAGCGTGATAGGGGTGTTGATGTTGGTAGTGCTCGTGACTTCGAAGGTCGTAACGGCTTCAGCGAGATAATGACTGATTACTGTATTCTTGAGCAGACCGGCCTTGAAGTATCGAATCTGATCGATAAGGGGAGTGGTGCCTTGAGTGTTATCGAGACAATGAGCGGCTTCGAGCTCATTATTGGTGTCTTGAAACTCCTGATATATTTTCGAGAGAGTCACCAAGCTTGAGGCCAGAAAGCTTGAGCTCAATAGTATTACGCAAGTTGCGTGGATAAAGTGAGCGACAAGAGCCGTTTGAAAAGCTGTCCAACTCAACGGGGGGAGCGCGGCGGCGTAAGTTGTATTGTACCACTCAAGAGCAGTACCCTTGAGGTAGGTAGTGAGCGTAGGAGCGTACTCTGCCATATTAAAGGCTATGGCAGTGGCAGTTCCAGTACCGTCTGGTCCAGCTTGTACAGCCGGGACAGTGAGAGACTCGAGGGAGTTGATGTGAGACGTAACAAACTCTTCGATCTCTTTGGCAGCTTTGGCGCGATCGTATTCGACAAGCTTGTTCTTGCGAGCGTCCATAAGAAGTCTGAAACGCTCGGCTTGTTGGGTGTCTTGCGTAACAGCACGCCCCCAAGAAGCGAAAGCAGCTGCGACAGCCGCAACGATAGCTTGAGTTTGGTGGTCCATTCTTGCTTGTGAACGAGTGTAAGGGCGACGTCCGGTAGAGGGGCGACGTTGACGAGGAATCTCTTGGTGATGCTAGCGGTAGGTGGTGCTACCATGTAACGTCAGAGGAAACATAGACGATATTGGGCCCTTCCGAGAGGGCTGAGAGCAGTGTATTGTAGTGAAGAAAAAAGTAAGAAGCTCTTCGCAGCGGCCGCTCGACTGACCGCTTTATATATGGGCTGCCAGTGGGGCTTGCGTGGCTTCAATGAGGCTTGGCGCCTTATGTAATGTATCACCGAGAGCTCGGGTGCCAGCCCGGGTCTCGGATGAAGTAGAAGTAAAGAGGTATAATATGAAATACAAGTGAAGATGAGATATCCCCAACAATTAGCTCTTGTCAAGATGTTGGGCCAATCGACCATATCTCATCGGTCGTTACTTCCAATGTTTTAGCGATCACAAGGCACTCGAATTCATTCAAACGCAACCCCATTTGAGCAGAAGACAAGCCAATTGGGTGGAGAAGCTACAAGAGTATGATTTTGACATCCAGTATTTCCCTGGACAATGGAATCATATTGCCGACATGCTCTCCCGCAATCCAATCTATGCGCCTCGGTGTGTAGATTGTCAACGACGCCTCAACATGCATACGCAGATCAGCACATGCTTGTCAACGAACCTTCCTCCAATGCTACGACAGAGGATCCACAAAATTCCCCTACCTGCTCAGAAGAAGAATGGAAAAAAGCGCTATGCAAAGATCCATATTCGGATTATCTCGATGAAATTTCTCGAAAGCCTCAACATGCTAATCATCAGTACACCCATGAGTGGTGCGCACGCATGAGGCTCTAGCGCTGATATAACCTTCTTTCCCATGCAGCCCTTCTCACTGACGGAGGAATTCACCGCTGTCTACTGTCTGCATTCATTGACACCCGATACAATCGAGATTCGGGATGCGCAATCCAAGAAGTTGTCCGGTGTGTACGATTTGCCGTCAATCACTCTCAAAGGAGGCCGCCGAATGATCGCCGAAAATAAGCTGGCCAATGTTGTTTACAAGTTTGGGACAGCTAATCCCGGTGCTCTTCCGCGCAACATCTACCCGGTGAGTGAACAAACAACGATGAAAATTGCAACTTTCCGATGTTGACAATCGTAATGGGCAATGCCCAGAAAGTGGGGTGCACGTGGAGCCACGTGACCCATTTGTGTTGCTGGCACGGCCGTAGTATCTAAAGGCCTTCAAGTTCGTTCTTTTCTTCCTCCTCACTGGAAAAGCAACGCAGATAGCAATTCAATCAGCTACCCACCCTCCCTTGTTTGCGATGGATGTATGTATATGCGGTGTTGCTAATATATGCGTGCGCGGTTTTGCCCGCGAAGCCGTTCCGTCGGGAGCCACCTATTGGGGTGGTCACCAGGCGGAACGGCAAACCCCAGCCATGGATTGTAAATTTCCTTCCCTCAGGCGTGGTTGATGAATCTTACCAAGCCAAATGAACCCTATATCATCGATATGGCGACCACCGAAATCTACACCGCGATCGCGAGCGTGGAATACCCCGATACTTGCAATGTAAGAAAGGTAGCTTGAAAGCTAATAGCTCTTTCCGGCCCGGAACTAACGTCTCGAATCATCTTGATTTTTGAAATACCCTCAGTCCATCGCGAGATCGGGCTCAAACCAGACTTCAAAGACCCTTCGCGGACATCAACCCGGACAAGAAGGTCAAGCCCTCCTGCAGTCCGTTTACGAGTTCCCGAAGACGTCGACCTCCTCGTCGGCACACTGGCAGAGGAGCCGAGACCAGACGGTACGGGTTCGGTGACACGGCGTTCCACATCTTCATCCTCATGGCTTCCCGGCGATTGTTTCACGGATCGTTTCTTGACTGACGACTACCAAACCCGAGAATATACACCGCGGAGGGTATCAAGTACATCGAGACACAGGGCAACTTCAAGGGGTTGATCTCACGGCACTTCCCAGAGCTGGCCTCTTCTGTGACTCCGTCGACAACCCTTTCAAGGCCGTGGAAGCTTAGTTCTTGGACGGAGACTTCCGCGGAGTAGTATAGCAGATTCTTGACCTTTTGACCGATTTGCGGGTCGCATAGCACATTTCTAGTACCCTGGCTATAAACATATGACTGGCATTGTGAAAACTGATTACCTAGCACTGTGTCCATCATAGTGTGTTCCCTTTTTTGAGATGTCTTCCCAGTGAGCGACGCGCGGATCTGCCGGCGAGAGTCGCGCATGAGTTCTTCGCAGCTTTCGGCAGGGAATCAGCATTGGCCTACCACCCACCCAACCCCGCCTACTTCAACGTCAAGAGTCTTAGCGAGCCTCTCAAAGTGCTTGCACTCCCCCACCAACCGGCCGTCGGTCCGTATGTTCAATGGGACCCCTTTCTACCGTGCAGCATACGTTGCTTTTCGACCTTCTCGACCTGCTACACAAAGAGGATGACCTCAGACCGCTTCACTACACAGTGTGCGGCAACAAGGGAGGCAGAAAGTATAAGCGGGAGCTCATCAAGGCCATTGTTGAAGAGGAGGATAACGTGAAGGCTTTGGTCGAGAGAAAACAGGTCCGGACGGACGACCTCAACCATGTGGTCGAACGGTACACTGGACGCAAAAAGGGAAATCAAGCAGAAGCCCAAAGGGCCTTTTGCGCGCTGTTTGGTATGCGGGGTTCCTTTTACCACTTTAGGAGTCGCTCTATCGCTATATGAATTCCTTATTTTATATGATATGCAGAAAAGTCAGGGTTCAAAGGTCCCCGTTTGCAAGACAAGTATGAGTTCCCGTCCGTGTCGGACATCGAAAGAGCGAGTTCTGCTATCCGACGAAAGCATTCTTGATAAAGGCTTTCCCAATGGAAGACCTTCGAGGCTTTTGCCGCGATCCCTCTGTTGAGGACGCTCGAGTGGCCGATACCTTGATAGCGGACAAAGTTCAGCATGAAGGAGTTTATTTGCCTGATCTCGTTCGCGGGTGTATGCTGTTGGAGATTCCGTTCGACCGAGACATGGCCCGACACCGGGAATGGTCCCACGACGAGCTTGAAGAGAGAATAGAGGATGCGCTGCGAGTTGTCGTTATGGAAAGGGGGTTTTCCACGCCATACGCAGGTGGCAAAAAGAAGGTCGGTTTTTCCTTGTTTTTCCGGACACTTATCCTCGCGAAACTAAATCTCATTGTAGGACCCCGTCGAATGCATAGACTTGACGTTTGAAGATATAGGTGTGTGATGAAAAAAACTGTTATGCGAAGAAATAGGAGCGGTTGCTCACAAGTTCTCTCCAGCCGGTGGGAAAAGGAAGCGGACAGCGGGCGATAATGAGAGTAAAGTTTTGAGAGTTTTCCTCAGCAAACTCACCAATGGGTTACGGTTGGGGATGGACGAAGAGAAGAAGTCGAAACAAGTAAAAAAACAGAGCAAGAAACAAGACGGAGGCTTCTGCGTACGTTTACGAATCCGGAGATTTGTTGCGCCGCTTGTCGATTCCCGACACAGGACTAAATCTTCCTATAGACTACAGCTCAGTTTCGGCGCCGGTTGACGAAAGCCGGCCTCCGACTGTTACCAGACCAAGACGTCTTACACATCATTGCATCATCAAATGGGGGTGCAGACCACGTCGACAACTACCATTGGCTCGGCAACCGGGTTCTCGACATTCAGATGGGAAATAAGACCGATCACATCTATTGCTATCTTGCCGGGCAAGTGATGGCGCGGGCGGCGGTCAAGATCTCGAAGAAGCACGGAAAACAGGACAGGCATGAAGTACCAAGGGGACGACGCCGATAAACTTCATATAAAAGGTGAAGAGGTTTTCCGAAGAGCTGCTGCCGACGCCAGAGATAAAAAGCGGCAAAATCTCGGTGCCGCTTGAGTCGAGCAGAGGGTAGAGGGGCTCATCGCCGAGCAAAGGAGCCATCCTTCCCTTGGAACACTGTTCTGCTGTTACCTTGGACTCATATGCAAGATTCCGTTTCTTGGATTAATGTAGCGTTAGATCTTAGGAGTGGCATAATGAATATGCCGGACGAAAACTGCAGAGACTTACCTTCCGTCTCCGGCTTTTATGTAGTTCGCGCTTGTTGATTTCGTTCCGCGCGGATGTCACGCAGCGCAGCGGCAACGGTTAACTTCCAGTAGAAGACCGTGCGCATGCATAGCATCACCGCACCGCACCTTACTGCACATGTACATAGTGGGAATGTAAGATCGGCTCAATAATGCATACAAAGCACAAATCCTGATGGGAGTCGTCTTTGCAACCTAGTACGTGACGCCATTCGCTTCTTTTTCAACGTTCAGTAGAACCATCCCATTCGATGACCCGAGCCGGATACTGCAGATCCAGTTCCGAACCGCAGGCGTTGCCCGTCTTTGAGCTGATCGGCATTCTTGTTCATAGAGTAGGTGACCGAATGGTGAGAAAGGACTCGGACGGACTTTGGATGATGAGAGAGGCGACGTTTGAGTCCCTCCCCGGTTCCCAACGCGTGATTCATGTCATGACAAAGACGCGTCAAGGCCGTTGTGCATCCATCATCATTGTACCAGGTCTCCCGAAGTCCACAATCCACAACCCGGCGGAACTATCTATCTTGAGCGTTTCCGTGATGCATCTCCTGCGTTTCTCCTGTCTCGCTGTTCTAATGCCTCCTGCTTCGTTTTGAGGAACATGAAAGGTGGAACCGCCGGATATTAAAACGAACCGACTTCCGCCCCCGTTTGGCGCCAGCGGTGGCTCGAGTTCAATCGTTGTCATCTCGAGAGCGCGTGCTGGTGGCAGCGCTTGAATGAGATGGATTGGATGGCCTCGACTCCTATGATTCATTTCTGTTCAGAAATGTTTGTAGATTCACGTTCTTTTTTGGTTTTCATTGTTCTTGGGCCTGCTATAGACGATTTGTGTAGAAGCAATTGGATTAAGATGGCGTAGTATTTACCTACATATCCTCAGTTATGTTATCAAATAACAAACTCGGCTAGTGAACAAGAGTAGTATCTACAGCAGATGCAATTTCAGATTTGTTGTAATGAACAGCAAACGCAACCTACGCTACGAGCTACACTACAAGATAACACAATTAACCTTAACCCGCGGCAGCAAGGGGGGTATTGGATGTCTAACACTCTCAACCCTCTCAACCACAACCCCAACAACAGCTAACAGCCCCAAACACACCACCGCGACCAGCAACCCGCCCATGAAATCCACGATCTGCTGATCTCGCCATATCAACAGGGACATCTCCCACACGGTGCGGCCGAGGATCCAGTACTGCACTGCAAAGTAAAGGAGGTAGACGCCCACAATGCTTGTGGTCAAGACGTCGAAGGCACGGTGTAATCGCGGCCGAAGCCACAGCACCGCCACATGTGCCTTGACTTTGGGCCAGATCAGTGCGTTCCTGCATTGTCGGTGGTTGCGTTTTGAGTCGTGGTGCAGGAAGAGGGCGGAGGCGATTGTGGCACCTGTTGCGAGGAGTTTGCCGTAGTGGGTGCGTATGAAATCGTAGAGGGGTTCGAGGGACTCGGGCATTGGGCGCGGCGGTGGATGATGCGGCGGCGGAGGTTCTCGATGATGGCGCCTGATGTAGCATCTCTGACCTGCTTTGAAGTGGCTTCCCGGTTGTACTTCACATCGAGTATCAGAGATTGCGGATCGTCCGAGCGTGGTAGGATTCTGCGCGCGGTTTCCAGAGCTGGTGCGAGTGCACTTTTGACGAGTGTGTCTATTTCTTTCCTCAAGGCCGACTTGGAGATCATGCACAAGTCTTCGTCGCTGGCTAGGAGGGTGCGCAGGGAACGAATGATGACCGTGGTAGCAGGGCATCCTAGGGTCGCTACGTGACTCCGTGCCCAATCCACATATCTGACAAGACGCACAAAAGTGTCAGCCATCGGAAGGCGAGTGCGTCCTTAACAGTTCTTGCGCGCAAAGTTCTTTACCTTTCGATGTACAGACTCTTCTTATCAGCAAGCTGTTTCCCCAACAGCACAACACCAGCGCTCTGCTCCGGTTCCTGCCCCACTCTCGCCGCCAAAATCCGCATCGCTTCCGATATCCTCTTCACCCTGCTGTCCAGGTTATCGATAAAAGCATCGTACGTGATGGTTCGCGGATCCGGTGGAAGGAGCTGCGAGACCTGGCAGTCGAATATTTCCAGCAGGGGTTGGCGTGATGACCTCACTTTTGGCACGGGAGTTGTGCCGAGTTTACCATCAGTGACTCGGAGGGTCTCATCATGAACAAGGCTAACAGTTGCCAGCCCGGCTTCGGTCTTCGATTCCAGCGGCTCGGTGGCCCTCAACTCAATTTACCTCGAAAAGGTCATTTTCATTCGAGACAGTTTGAAGCCTGCCTTTCTGGAAACCAGTGATGCTGGCGTCCCCGCTGAAAGCCTTCATATCGCACTAACCAGCGGCGATTGAAGATGCGCATCCTCCAAGTACCGGAGCCCGGAGCTGTTTCTCGAATTGATCCCCGCCATGATTCTCGCGAGTAGATCTTGTTACTCGTAAGCAACATTCCCTAAGCTAGCCGACAACGTTTCGTGGGGCGCTCAGGTACCGGTTCAGCCGACTTCCTAGGCCGTCTGCGCAAGATGGGTTCGACCAAAGGGCCGCTTGAAGCGACGGCAGGAATGCCGATGTCAGCTTCCAGCTCTTCAGTTTCGCAAGCGGACGAATCGCGGCTCCAACGGCTTACCCTGGGTTGTTTGGGCAGTGGGGCCGGTGGCGCTATGACTCCGGTCGTAGGTATCTCAGCCTCCAGGTCTCGCCCTGAACGGCGGGTCGGGGCTTGGCCTATGGCTTCTACCGGGCGGAGGACAACGTCCTCCACATCCTCCTCTATTCTAGCACATTTGCGAACTCATAACGCCTCGGGCGACCTTTTAGCCTTGCGCTTAGTCCCTCTCGGGACCCTCCACCGTCAGATCCACAGCTTTCGGAAGAGTGGGAAAGTCAGGAGGAGTCGGTTGGGGAACAGGCACTTTTGGAGGATCATCGTCCCTGCCGACGGCTGCTAACCTCCTCCTTGCCCCTATGTCGTCCCATATAACTCTCGCCTTCTTCTTGTCTTGAGCGGTGTACAAAGTGCTGCTGCCGGCTCGCTTCTTTCCCTGGTTGAAGACTGGCACGGGAGGTGGCTCGTACTTTCGGAACTCGGCGTGTGGGCGTAGGAGCTGGAACGGAGACGAAGGTTGCGTTCTGATCTAGTATGTCAAAGATCTCATTTCTCTGGCCAGTCCGATCGCTTAGGACCACCGCGTCACGGGGGCTCACAGGTTGAGAAGGCTGCGGTGAGGGCGTGGTGTCACATACACCTCCATGGGAACTTCAGCCGTTCGGCCAGGGAACGTTCCGGGCATAACATAGTCTCCTTTTCGGCGCGGGGAACTTGGGCGAGCGGTCAACAACTCCGGTCGCGACGCCGACTCGATGCGTGCCGTCCATTGGATCTACGCGGATCTCCATCTCTCGCGTCTGAATAACAGGATTGACATTTTTGGTGTTCAGATTTAGCTTCTCCTCGGGAACCTCCTTCCCCCCACTGGGAGCCTGGAACTGAAGGCCAGTTTGAGCCGTAACTTCAGCGGGGTAGTTGTACACGTAACCTGTCTGATCAGGGATCGGCAACCCGCTTGTAGAGGTAGAGGGTACCAACGGAGATCGCGGTCCCCGCTCGCCTCGAAGGCGTGATGCGATCCAGGAAACGTTCGCGTTCACGGTAATCCTTCTCTGCTTTGAGGAACTCCTGGGCATCTTTGTAGGCTTTCGATTGAAGCCTGGCTGCATTGAAGCTTCAACGCTTCAACGGAGGAGATGACCGTCTCATGTTTTGGAGCGGTGTAGTTCTGTTTAGTAGCGAGGTCCTTCCGGTGGATGTTCCTGTTCCACGCGTACTTCACATTGGGGACACCCGAACGCGTCGAGATGACCGTAGTCAAGCGCCTGGCCAATCTGATGGCGTTGGAGGTTCGTAATCGGCTTGGGCCGATTGATACCTTGGGCTTCGAGAGGGTTTGCCCTGTAGATGGCCGCCATTCTCGCACTTTCTAAAGCGATGAGAAAAAATTCTATCCATCATGCTAAGACAGCGAAACCCTCGATGCCCAGTTTCCTTCAGAACGTCAAGACTAAAGCCCGTCATCTGTTCACGAACGCGCCGTCGTATCTGAACAAGGCGAGAGGGTTCGCTACCCAAGTCGTGATGTCGGGGATATCTCATCTTCACTTGTATTTCATATATATATCTCTTTACTTCTACTTGATCCAAGACCCAGGCTGGCCACCCGAGCTCTCGGTGATACATGACATAAGGCGCCAAGCCTCACTGAAGCCACGCAAGCCCCACTGGCAGCCCATATATAAAGCTGTCAGTCGAGCGGCCGCTGCGATGAGCTTCTTACTTTTTTCTTCACTACAATACACTGCTCTCAGCCCTCTCAGAAGGGCCCAATGTTGTCTACATTTCCTCTGACGATACACCAGGACTTGAGGAGTGTTGTATCCATCCTTTTTCGAGCATCGAGGTGATTTGTTTCTTGAGTTCAGCGAGTTCTTCTTTGTTCATGTGCCGAAGAGGTTGCCAAACGGGTTCAGCACCTTCAGTGAGTTCGATCTTGAAATCATCTTCTCCGCGATCAGGGGGTAGACCTTCCGGTTCCTTGAAGAGCGTATTGACGTGTTTATTTAGGATATCCTTGAGATGTCCTGGATTTTTTTTAAGCTCTTGTGGAGCGTCCAGTATTTCGTTAAGAGCGAGGGGACAGACTGGGTCTTTTTCAAACTTGTTCCGTCGCCAAGCCTTATTGAATTGCTTAAAAGTCATTTCTATGACTTGAGGATTGCGAAGGGCATTGGCTTGAGCAAATCGAGATATATAATGAGGTGCGGCTGGTAGAGGACGAGTATCCACAGGTTTACTGATCCGAACAGGTCGAACAGGTCTTTTGTCATAGACCGGATCTCGTTGTACATCGAAGTAAGGGTTGTTGTGTTTCGGGATGTATTCGACGTCTTCCCAGTTTCTTGAAGTTCTTTCGCACTTGATGGTGACAGACTGCGGTGCGTTTGGTATAGGGCCGTAATTGGTCCAGCGAAGGGTAGGTAAGGTACTCATCGAGAATTGTTCAGCGTAATTAAAGAAACGCCAGAAAGGCTTTCCAATAATAGCGTCGTAAGCCAGATTACTGACTAGCCAGGGTAGTTGTCCAACTAAGAAAAGCGACTGAGATTTGAGATCCCATAGATCTAACTTTTCCGAAACGACTGTGTCGACAATCATGTATGATTCTTTGCCGGCCAGCCATATCTGCTTCGGTTTGATACGTTTCTTGGGAAATTTGTGCTTTCGACGAATGTCTTATCAAGGAATAACCCAGTTGCGCCGCTATCGAAAAGAACACGAGCAAACTTGTTTCCGAATGCGACAATGAGAGACCCAGAGTCCAGCAGACAGTGGTTCGAAGGCAGGTTTATTGGTAGGATCGTATGTGGTAGGCCAAGCAGAGCTACCGAGGGGCTCTATCGACCTTGGAAGAAACTCGAAGCTTGATTTTTAGTAGTATTCGTAGTATTCGCTGAGTTGACGGCGTCATCGAGAATTTCCGTAATGCATGACCCAGCATCAACCTGATTGGCTGAACCTTGTTGTTGATTAGGTTGGCAACTGGGCTGCGGAGTTTGAGCGCCACGACCGCGCTGTCGAAGACCACCGCGTCGCTTCTGGGTTTGCGAGCCTTGCTGTCGATTTTTCGGGATTTGACCAGCATTCAACTCTCCAATGTCCCATTTTGTTACAAAGGGGACAGGGAGTCGTTGGACGTTGACGAGGACCGTGAGTAGCTTGCCAGTGTCCACGTCAACGAAAGGGCTGTTGACGTTGGTAGGGAACTTGACCTGTAGTGAGACGACTCACTCCAGGGGGATAGTATGACGTACCGAGGGCATTGAGCCCAAAGGTCATATCATCTAAGTCTTGCTCAAATTCCGTAATTCGAGGATTGGTGTAAGGGGCGTATCGTCCACCACGACCACCGCCACAACTACCTCGACCTCAACTGGCTCCACGGCCGTCACGAGAACTTGATGCCGAGGCAATCGGACGAGGCGTATTGGCTTGGTTGCCGTCAGTGAACCCATGAGCCACATGAGCACGACGAGCTGCAGTGATAGCTTGATCGAGAGTGATAGGGGTGTTGATATTGGTAGTGCCCGAGATTTCAAAGTTCGTAACGGCTTCAGCGAGATAATGACCGATTCCTGTATTCTTGAGAAGACCAGCCTTGAAGTATCAAATCTGATCGATAAGGGGAATGGTGCCTTGAGTGTTATCGAGACGATGAGCGGCTTCGAGCTCATTATTGGTGTCTTGAAACTCCTTGATACATTTTTTGAGAGAGTCACCGAGCTTGAGACCGGAGAGCTTGAGCTCAATAGTATTATGCAAGTTGCGAGGATAGAAGTGAGCGACGAGAGCCGTTTCGAAAGCTGCCCAATTTGCAGGAGGTCCAGCGGCGTAAGTCGTATTGTACCACTCGAGAGCAGTACGTTGAGTGCGTGAGTTGAGTGCGTTGAGTGTCAAAAAAAAAGAACGAGGGAAAACAAGCAGTGCGTTTCACTACACATATTTATTCTATCCTATAAATCTTCCACTTGGGAAGGGTTTGTTTTGTTTTGTGCAAGCTAGTAGAGCGGTTAGGTTCGGCGCCCATCTGGTAATCTCCTCCTTTTATCTTGTTTATTGCTGAGGCCTTCACGCCGTTGTTCATATTGGTACAACTGCGTCCTGTAACATCTAAAACCTTTGTTGACCATTTGTATGAACTCTTTCTTGATTTGTCCATCCAATACTTTTTTGAAATTGTCGTAGGTCAGAAGATCGACATTCTGTTTCTTATTGGTCCCCTTGCAGCTCACCTTGCTGCGCTTCTTGCTCCGTAGGAACTGCTCTTCATCTCCAACCACAAAGTACATCTTGGGTGCCAGGGCAATCAGCGCTGTCCCGGTGAACTCTATCTTGAATAGCCCCGGGGTCTTCTCGTTGTATTCATCCCCATCGGCAACCAACCATAACCCGCGTTCCTGTAGAAACTGCTCCTTGAGTTCTGGCCTCACCAGGGAATCAATGGTGTCACCGGCAAGCGCCATATACATGCTATCTGTGTCCATCTGAAGCAGCTCAGATGTAATAATGCTAGGTCCGTTGCCAGAGGCTAGCTCTGTCTCCGCTCGATGTATTGAAAGAATTCTAGAGTTTCTACCTCCTGGGGCGCCGCCCAAAGGCTTTTCTTCCCTTCAGGAGTCACCCCAGAGCGTAGGACTCCAATATAATCTATGCTACCCGTGATCTCATGCCCTACGCGCTTCCCCGCACTAAGGTGACACCTGCAGCATCTCATTACACCCCCCTTAGAGCGAAGTGTCACATCACACATCACACACGACGTCCGCTTAGGGACACCTTTGCCTCAAACACACAAAGGGGACAGCCTAAAGAAGGCTCTCAAGCGACAGCGAGTGTGTAATGAGGTGCTGCAGGTGTCACCTTAGAGCGGGGAAGCGCGTAGGGCATGAGATCACGGGTAGCATAGATTATATTGGAGTCCTACGCTCTGGGGTGACTCCCGAAGGGAAGAAAAGCCTTCGGGCGGCGTCCCGGGAGGTAGAAACTCTAGAATTCTTTCAATACATCGAGCGGAGACAGAGCTAGCCTCTGGCAACGGACCTAGCATTATTACATGGTAGCACCATCCTTAAAGATCTCTCCGGCAACCTACGATGAGCAACTCTCAGGCGGGTGCTAATACCGCCGTCAGCTCTGCGATAGTTAACAATGACCGCTTAAAGCTTGATCCATTTGAACACCCGCATCGAAGGGCGCAACGGCTCGACAGCGACCAACGCCAAGGCAACGGCCCCGCAGAGCGTAACCGCCCCTTGCACAGGCGCAGGGGGTCACCCCCGTGGTCGCCACCTGGAAGGAGGCACTCCAGCTCACGCTCACCTTGTCGACGTCGAAGCCCGGACCCTCGACGCCAGAATCGGACGCCAGAGCGATACAGGCGCGGACGACGAGGTCGCAGGAGCATCTCCCCACCCCGTCGAAGGAGCCGCTGAGTAAGCCGCTACCGCAGCCGCTCCCCGGCGAGGACCCGAAGCCGCTCCCCCATGCGGCGCACGAGCCGTACCCCAGCCCGACAAGAGAACGGACAGGCAACAATCCTCCAAATCCTAGCCCAGCTGGCCAACACCAACGCCCAACTCCAGCAGCAATTCGAGCGCCTGGAGAGGGACTGCCCAGATGACAGCCCCTTCGCTGGAGTACGGGTTAGCCGCGAGGACCATTTGGCGGCTAGCGAAGAGCGTAAGCGCAAGGCGGCCACCGAGAAGGAGTTCCGAACCACCTTGGCTAAGATGCTGACCAAGTTTGACGGTAAGGCTAATGGTAAAGACATGGTCGCCAAACTGGACGAGTTCGTCGACGCCCACCTACGCTATCTGGAAGTTACCGAATTCAGAACAGAGGACGGGGATGTGAAACACTTCGTAGCCCACTTGTTGGGAGACGCCGCTGAGTGGTGGAAGCTCGAGGCTCGCTCCGGAGAGCCTTCCGCCACCCAGGAACGGTTCCTGAAGGCACTCAGGCGCAGGTTCTACCCCGCCAACCTCCGTAATTCGGTCGAGGCGAAACTGGCCGCCCTGAAGTTCAAAGACAGCATGTCCGACTACGTTCCGGCCTTCAACGTACTGACCACACAGATCGTTATCCTCCCCAAAAAGGAACATCTCACTCCGCGACAGGAACGTGAGTACTTCCTGAACGGGCTGACCTTCCACCAGGTCGGACGTCGCATCCGTGAGCAGTGCTACCAGTTCATCCTACAACAGGGCAATGAGGACGAAGACATCCCCATCAAGACCCTTCAGGGAGCCGCCCAGAGGGCCTTCCGCATCGGGGGTTATGCCGACGGGATTGCCCACATTTCGGAGGACGGCAAACGGGTCCAACCCGGAACGGCCACTCCGGCCCAGGCTTGCGACAAGCGCGATACGCCCCCCACCTTCAACTCCAACCGAGTACCCCTTGGGAAGGAGAGGAAAACTCAGCGAGGCGAATGTCACACTTGCGGCAGCAAGGACCACTACGCCCGGGCGTGCCCTAAGAACCCGGACGGACTCAAGATCTCGGCGGCGCCCGCCAAGGCCTTCAATGATGACAACGACAAGTTTCATTTGGCCGCGGAGGAGCCCCCGAGCCGCGCATACTCCATCGACAGTCAGGATTTTCTGCCCAGGGCCTGACCGCCTGCAGCGCCTCAGCGTCCAGATAACCCGAGGGACCTACCGGACCCCGACTGCAGGACACCATTCCGGAATACCGCCCCACCCCCATCATCGACAAGCTCACGTTCAAGGTCCATGGACGTGTCGGCGGCATCTTCTGCCGCACCCTCATAGACACTGGTTGCAATACCATGCTCATTAGCGACTCATTTGCCCAACGCCATGATCTTAACACGTACGACTGTCCCATGCCCCTTGAGGTGCGCTGGGGTGACAAAGCCGGATCATACGGCACCACGCGGATGATTTGTGCCAACCTCTCCGTCTTCACGGAGGAATGAATACCTCATAAGACCCCTCGGGTCCCGTTTGTCGTGGCCCCGATCCGCGCGGATGTTATCCTAGGGCTACCCTACATCTTGGACCTTGACCTCATACGCTTATGGCGCGACAATGGGTTCCCGGCGCTTCAATTTGAGGCTAACGCAACCGTACTAACTTTCCGAGCTAAACCTACCACCCGCCGATGGCAACAACCCAGCGCTTGCGCGGCCCGGTTACTCGAACCTCATACGGGCCCTCACCCCCGCCGTTTCTACCCAAAGCGCGCGGCCTTAAATGAGGAGGGCTTCCTCACGGCCAAACAATTCAAGCGAGGAATCAAGAGGAATAAGGCCACCGAGGTCTATACCGCATGGGTCTCACGCACAGACACGGAGGTGGACCTGGCCACAGACGACACCCTCACGGACGTCGCCGAAGCAGAGGCTAACTTCGTTCGCACGGTCGAGGCAAAGAAATGTGCGATCATTGCGGACCGAAAGGCAACGGACACCCCTCCGGATACCACCCGGGGGATCCACTCGCATCGGTCGCCCCCGACCACCCTCTTCGCCCGACGTTGGAACAGTTTACAGATACCCTCTTCACCGAACAGACCGGCCTCCCGCCGGACCGCGACGACGACAACTTCAGCATCAACTTGAAGCCCGGCTCCAAGCCTGTCATGCTCCCACTCCGCCACTTGACCCCCGACGAACTCGACGAGCTACGGCAGCAACTCGAGCGCCTATCATCCCGCGGGTGGATCTCCCACTTTAAGAGCCCCTGGGGGGCACCCATACTGTTTGCCCCAAAGAAGGACGGTGGCCTCCGCTGCTGCATCGACTACCGGGCCCCTCAACAAGATGACCCATAAGGACGCCACGCCCCCTCCCAAACCTCAACGACCTTCGGGACCGCCTCGTCGGCATGAAGGTCTTCACCGCTATCGACATCCGCGATGCCTACCACTGCATCCTCATGCGGGAGGAAGACCATGAGAAGACTGCCTTCCAGACGCGCTTCGGCCACTTCCAGTACAACGTACTGCCCTTCGGGCTGACGAACGCCCCCGCGACGTTCCAACGCCTCATGAACAAACTCCTGGGTGACAAGTACGATTCATACCTCATCTCTTACCTCGATGACATCCTTATTTTCAGCACCGACATGGACCCACACATCGGGCATGTCACTGATGTGCTCAAGACCCTCTCGGCTCACGGCCTTCACGGTAAACCATCCAAATGTCAGTGGGCAGTGGACCAGGTCAAGTTCTGCGGGCACATGGTGGGTAAGGATGGCCTTTCCATCGCCCCGTTCAAGGTCAAGGCTGTCCGCGCTCGACCCGAACCCACCAGCGCCCTCGAGCTCCTCTCCTTCATGGGGCTAGTCAACTATGTCAAGGAATACATTCCGCATTATACTGACACAGCCCTCCCACTGACCAACCTTCAATCCGGCACCCGCCCGTGGCAGTGGGGCGCCAAGGAACAAGCAGCCTTCAACACCATCAAGGCGCTCGTCGCCGATGCCCCTTGCCGGGCGTTCTTCGACCCCGATAAGTTCCCCCTACGTCTTCTCATGGCTGGATCGTCAGGGCACGGACGGCGACTTTCCCATGCTGAACCCACTGCCCACCATGAAAAAGGGCCCCAATAACCTTCCGCGCCTCCGCGTCATCTCATATTACTCACGCAAAATGGCTCCGGCCGACACCCGATACCCGGTGCACTAACAGGAGCTCCTCGCGTTGAACAAAGTGATCCGCGCTAACCGCCATCACCTCATCGGTCGCCAATTCCGTGCATTCGTCGACCATGAATCCCTCATATACCTCCAGAATCAGCCTCATCTCTCCCGGCGCCAGGCCGGATGGGTGGAGTTCCTTCAGGACTACGACTTCACTATCGAATACCTCCCCGGCGAGTTCAATCACATCGCCGACATACTCAGCCGCACACCACGGTACGCCCCGAAGTGCGCCAGCTGTCAGATGAACGTCGAAGTGTTCTCCATTGTCACCGGGACACCTCTACCGGACATCACCGGCCGCCTCCCTACCGACACCAAGTGGCTCACTGCACTTGGCGATGACATGTTCTGCAAGGACACCCTCGCCCACCTGCAGACCACCATGACAAACCCTGATGACCCCTCTACCCTCTCGGGTTTTGCGCGCCGCCTCACGCGTGACGACCGCGGCTTTGTTTTGTAGCATGGCCGCTGCTCCGTCCCCGAGGGCCTTCGGGGCCCCCTCCTCAGGTTCTATCATGACTCCCTGGCCAACGGCGGCCACTCAGGTGTCCAGCGCACCGGCGCCAAACTCCTCGCGCTCTACTACTGGCCCCTCCTCAAGCGCGAGGTCCACCAGTACGTCCGGACTTGTCCCGACTGCCAACGCAACAAGCAGGCTTCCAACTTCGGGCTCCTACGCAGCATTCCGGTCCCCGACGAGCGCTGGCGTTGCGTCGGCTTGGACATCTACTTCCCCATGACAAACTCTAAGGGGGGCGAAGCGGGAGACGAGTCCGTCATGGACAAGGGAGCCGTCCTCATCCTGG